CCTTCACCCAAATCAACACATTTTCTTAATACTCAGCAATTTCCATTCCTTTTCCCTCCCCTCTCTGCTAACCAACAAAGACAATTTCCTTCCCTGTGTAAACCTTTCCTTGACTTTTTATAATAACAGACTCATACAATTATCTGTCCTTTTGTGATTGACTTATTTCATTCAGCATAATGTCTTCCAAGCTCATCCACATTATTGTAAGGTGATTTGCGTAATCTTAATTTTCTTTAATGTTGCTTAGTTTTTCATTGTGTGTATATACCACAGTTTGGTTATCTATTCATCTATTGATAGTCACTTAAGTTGTTGTTGTGAATAGTGCTGTGATGGATATGGGTGTGCATATATCTGTTCATGTCCCAGATCTCATGTGTTTAATAGACATTCCTAGTAGTGGGATTGCTAGATCAAATGGTATTTCTGTTTCCAACTGTGGTGGTTATGTTTTTGTGTCAACTTGGCTGGGCCTGGTTGAGTGGCTGGGCAGCTGGATGTAGTATTCCCCATGATGAGACTGGTAATCAACTCCATGGTGGAATCTATTGTGAGCAACTGAGTAGCTGCCTTTGGGTATGTGATCTGCTTCCCATATATAAGCAGCAGCTTTGGGAATGGCCTCTAGCTTATGGCACACTTGGTCCCTGCATGTAGCTAGCCGTGTTGTTGTTCAGCAGCCTGCCATGCTCTGCCAACCTCGGGACTTACAATGGACTTGGATTAATGGTCTGCTGTGTGGTTTGGTAACATCGGGACTGTGCCTTTTACTTGTCAACCTTGGTTTGTCAGCCTCAGCAGCCTGCAGTTGTCTGAGTGAAGAAACACCTCTAGCTCCAGTGGGCCAGGAGCAGGAGGCAGAGCTGGACCCCAAGGTTGAGGGGCTTTCACCCAGCCTCTAGAACCTTGCACTTTGAACTTGGACTTAAAGCCTCCAAACTGTGGGAGGATAAACACCTGTTTGTTAAGACTATCCCATTTGTGGAATATTCTTGTCAGAGTGGCACTAGGTAACCAGAACACCAACTTTTTAAGGAAGTGCCATACCACTTTCCACAGTAGTTGTACCATTTTACAGTCCCACCAGCAGTGTAGGAGAGTTCCAGCCTCTCTACTACATACACATTTGTATGTGCTAGTAAAAATGCCCACATACATTATAGAGCTAACAGAGTACAAAGTTGGGATAACTTCTTAGCAACAACCAAGTACCTTGAGGAAATGAGTCACTGTGCTTGTGGGCTCAGGACCATGATACTGGAGGATATCAAGCTCAATTGGCACAACATAGTACACAAAAACATTGTTCTACATGATGCTTTGGTGAGTAGTGATGGGGGTCCTTAAAAGCTTGTGAATTGGCCATATAAGATTCAACTATTAGTGTCTTCTCATCCAGAGCAAAGAAGAGTGATGAAAATCAAAGATGTATGGAAACAATTACTCTAGGAGACTGATGGACCAAGGGAACTACAGCCTACATGACTTTGAGACCAGAGGAATAGATGCTGCAGCTACCAATGCCAATCACTCATAAAGGGATCAAAATTGGAGATCCTGGATAGAGTGGAAGAAAAAGTGTGGAACAAAATTCAAAAACATAAAAACGACCAGGATTACTGTCAGATAAAGATTGGTGAGACCCCCAAGACTGTGGCCCCAAGTCACCGTTTTGGCCTGGAATTGGACTCACTCCCCTGACTCAACCCTCAGCCAAACAATAGACAGGCCTATGAGCTGAATAATTACACTAGGAAGATGAATTCCTTAGAACAGTCAACCAGGGAGATCAGAAGGGCAGCATTTGCATAAGGAGAAAGCTAGGCAGGTAGGAATGTATCAGTAAGAAGGACACAGGGAAGGGGTAACCACAGAGAGGAGAGAAGAGGAGAGCTGATACAATGTGGGGATTATAATCAGTGTAGTGAAACAAAATGTGTATGAAATGTTGAACGTAAAACAATCTTCTTTGTAAAATTGTACCCAAATCACAATAAAAAGTTTTTTAAAAAGAAAAGCTTAAGAATCTGCTCTATGGTCACTGCCAAAAGTATTTATGTTTACGTGTAGAAAAATATGCTGTTGTTATGTGCCATCGAGTTGGACCCGATTCATAGCATCCCCTCCTTGGGTTTCCAAGGCAGTATCACTATGGAAGTAGATTACCCAACCTTCCTTCCAAGGAGTGGCTGGTGGGTTTGAACCACCAGCATTCTGATTAGCAGTCCAATGCCTTAGACACTACGCTACCAGAGCTCCCTATAGAAAAATATAGTTATTATCAAGAAATCTTACTTTGCTCATATTCCACAGATATTTTGATGAAGAACTTATCATGTATATTGTGTCATTGTAAGACTATTCTCAGAGCTCATGCTGTGGAAATTATTATGATTACCAGAAGGGTTGAATTCAAATTAATTTTTAATATGTCTCAATTATTAAATACCTATATGTCTATAGACTATATGTCTGTAGTCACCTTACAGAAAATTTGAAAAATATTTTTCAATAGTGGTGTGATATTGAGCAAATAGTTGATATTAGTCAGGTTAGATTCAAATCTCATCTCTCTATAGCTTTGCGGAAGAGTGCAATGCCAAGACACAAGGCTGTAATAAATAAATTACACAGGAAAACCACCAAATGAATTACATGCTTTATCACATATTTTGTACAACCTTTTAAAACACACAAGTGTTTACCTCTAAGCCTAAATCTAAATAGCAGGATGGGGAGGGACTAAAACAAATCTATTTAACTTTGTTTAAATAATGGCAGTCACATCAATTTTATATATTACATTATTAGGCTATTGGACAATGAAAAAACAGATGTTCTAGAACATGAACTTTAAAATTGGTGAGCCTCATGTACTTTTTCCAAAAGAGGTTTTATTGCATTGAATCAAAGGTGGCTCCTTGGCACTGAGCAGCTCTGGGAGGCTTCCATGTCCCCATTCTCTGACCCTGAGCTTGGGAGTGCCATCAGCCCGTTTGAATTTGGACCTTTACTGGATCCCTTCATATAGCCAGCACCCCCATGCAGTTAACCTGGCTCTGCTCAACCCTTTTGTTGGTTTTGTTTCAATCCTGTGCTTCAGCTTAGACCATATAAATTCTGAGAGAGGAATAAAAACTCCTGAGAATAGTATTTCAGATGAACATTATTCCATGAGAGAGAATGCTGTTAGGAAAGGGCTGAGTTTGCATCCTGGCCCACCATTATGTGTGTTTGAATTTAGCATGTTAGCTTAACCTCTCTGAACCTCAATTTCCTCTTTTAACAAATGACAGTACCTTTCTTTCCCAGCTCAGCTGAAACCCCAGTTTATGGGGAGATGGTGCACTGAGAAGCACTTGATAATTGTTAAGTGTTGTGTGACTGCAAACTGATCTCCTCGTGGCCACCAAAAGGGACTACTGCAGAATTCATTAGATGTAGACCACTGATATTTCTCATTATCTGTTTTTATTCAAAACTTTACTCTGAGTTTGTTTAATTCAAAAGTGAAACTCTCTTAAAGTTACTTTAAATGCCTTCCCTTTCTAATGTTCCTCTTGCTGTTAATGACACCTCAGTTCTCCAGATGATCTCAAAGTTCATCTGATATTTCTCCCCTAACCTTGAAGGAATCAAATCATGTGCATTCTTCCTGGTAACATCTTTGAAGTCCATTTTCTTTTTTTACCCCATGGACACTCGTCCAATTTGACCCTTGTAACTTGAGTTACGACAAAATCTCCCTGCCTTCAATCTCATTTCCCTTTTCTCCAGCTTGCACCCTGTTGTCAAATTCATCTTGATAAATTACTGCATGGATTATGGCTGTCCTGCCCTGCTCTAAGATCTTCAACAGCCCGCCCCCCCCCCATTATATGTAGACAGGAGTCCTTAGAGCATTGGTTAAGCACTTGTCCACTAACCAAAAGGTCAGCATTCAACCTACCAGCCACTCTGCAGGAGAAAAGACTTGGCAATCTGCTCTCATAAAGATTACAGCCTATGGAATCATATGGGGCAGTTCTACTCTGTCATACAGAGTCAGTATGAGTTGGAATTGATGCAACGGCACACAGCAACAACATATATAGTATAAAACCTAGTTTGGCTTCAACCTATTATGCAGCCTTGGTCACACAGATTCACTTCGCCTGTGACACTTACTCTACTCATCCTTCCTTGATAGAACTTCACTCACACCATTTCCAAGGTCCCTTCTTTCTTCCTTTCCAAATCATACGAAATTTTCAAGCCCTGCTTAAGTCCCACCACCTACATGAAGCCTACTTGATGCCTCATATCTCATAATGATCTAACTCCTCAACTAATTCCACTGATTGAATGTTTGAGGAGTCAGTAGTCAATTGTGAACTAATGGCCCTCTGATATTGTGTGTGGCTGTCACCTAGGCAGTTAACTTGTGTTGTTTACATTTTACTGAGTGCCCTGTACCCTTAGCTGTGTGGCCAGGTTTTGCTTTAAGGCAGGGAATTTTATCATAGTCATCTGGCTTCCCCTAGCCCAGTGAGTTTCAACTTTCACTTGTTAAAGAAAATTGGAGAACATGTTAAAAATTCTACTGTGCTCCACCCTCAAAAATTCAGTAAGATTGTTGGCTGCTGTTGGATGCTGTCAATCAATTTCAACTTATAGTGACCCCATGTGACAGAGTAAAACTTCCCCATAGGGTTTTCTAGGCTGTCATCTTTATAGGAGCAGATCACCAGATCTTTCTCTTGCAGAGCTGCTGGGTGGGTACAAACGTCAGCCTTTTGATTAGCAGGCACTGAATGTTTAACTGTTGTGTTGTGGACTCAAATGTCTGCACTTCCAAGTTCTAAGTGATGTTGATGCTGATGTTTGAATAGCTCTGCCTTTGGGCACCTCATATAGAGCCCACACATGAAAACTAATACATGTTCATGGATCCAGAGTAGATTTTTTTTCCCTTGTCTTGTATTTGAGGCTAATTTTCTGTCATTCTTTCCTTTTAGATTGATTTTGAAGACGTGATTGCAGAACCAGAAGGGACACACAGTTTCGACGGCATCTGGAAGGCCAGCTTCACTACCTTCACTGTGACGAAATACTGGTTTTACCGCTTGCTGTCTGCTCTCTTTGGCATCCCAATGGCACTCATCTGGGGCATTTACTTTGCCATTCTCTCTTTCCTGCACATCTGGGCGGTTGTACCATGCATTAAGAGTTTCCTGATTGAGATCCAGTGCATCAGCCGTGTCTATTCCATCTACGTCCACACCTTCTGTGACCCGCTCTTTGAGGCCATTGGCAAAATATTCAGCAGTATCCGCATCAACATGCAGAAAGACATATAAGTGACATTTTGAGAATTGAAGTATCCCTATCTTTTTTTTTTTTTTCTTCTTTTAATTTTCTTGGTGCCGGTTTCAAGTTGCTAGTACAGCAACAAATTATGAACGAACATCTTAGTTCAGAACAAAGAAATCACTTTCTCATTTTCATAATTCTTTGTCTCTTCTGAGCTATTTCATTTTTTTTTATTTGGCTGTCTGAATTTTTAAAATCCATTTACATGTTTTCTTTGCCTTTTTATTTGCAAGTGGATTATTGTTTTGTTGGCTGATGGACATACTGTTGAAAGATAAGTTGAGAGAAATTTGAAGAACTGAGGAAAGAAAAAAAAAAACCTCAACTGTCTACACTAAAATGTTGATCATTTTATAATAAAAGAAGAATCCTAGGCTACTGCCATTGAGTAAACAGCTATGTGGGCAAATTTTAAGCAAACTCTTCACTCAACATCTGAAGAGTTAGTGGATGGCTTCATTCACTTTAATGATCCATTGGGATCTAGTGATCCTTATCGGGTTAACAAACATAATTTTCTGCATTCACATGATTCGCCTAATGCCTTACACTTTTTGAAAGTTTAATCTGTGATACTTTCTGTGCCTAAATATTTGTTGAAGAGATAAAAGGACCCAAGTGCCTTCCTGTTTCTCACATTTTCTTTTTCAAATGAGGTCCAACTCATCAACTTCCATTAGGTCAGCAGCCTTCCTGGAGACCAAAGTTAGAAATTCCATTGCCTACTTCTCCAAGCTTGTTTCTGACTCTGAGAGTCTGCTGAACAGCATTCCTGTGCAGCATCTTGATCCATATCAAATATGGTCGACAGTAATACCATGAAATGAATTAAGGTGGACCAATGGGGCTGAGCCCTCTCCGGGCTGGCTGTGGTAGAAGCCAACCTTCCCTGCCTCTCATCAGCTGAATGAGATCAGCATGTCTATTCAGCTTCATTTATTTTCAAGAATAATCACGCTTTCCTAAATCCAAACTAATCCGTCACCAGGGTGGTTTAGTGGCTCAACATTGTGTTCCGTTTTTTCAGCTGATCAGCAGGCCTCTAGGGAAGGGCTGTCAAAATGGAGGCCATTGTGTGAGACTGTCAGTTGTCGCAAACATAACCCCTTCAGAGTAAAGCACTTGCAACCGTCTGTTATGCTGTGACACATGGCCCCTCCCCCTGCCAGAAGCTTTGGACCTAATCCAAACATCATTTTGCTCAGAGAAAAAATGGGGGAGGAGGCACTAATCAAAGATGGAGATAATTTTGCTGGAATAAATTTAAATTCTTCTGAACTCAAACTGAGGAATTTTACCTGTAAACCTGAGTCATACAGAAAGCTGCCTGGTACATACAAAAGCTTTTTATTCCTCCTGTTTGTATTGTGATTCTGCCTCTGGGGATATTTTTTAACCTTCAAGTAGGCTGTTATTTTTATTTTCATATACATAGTTGAACTCTGCTTAATTTTTGCATTTTTTTTTCCTGGCACTTTAATTATAATCTTATCTACTTTTAATTTTTTTTTTTTTTTGCATTTAAAACAGACACTGGCATGGGTATAGTTTTACTCTTAAACTGTGTACATAACTGAAAATGTACTATATTACATACTTTTTAAATGTAAAGATATTTTTATCTTTAGAAGAGGAAAATCACTTCAGAAATTGCTTGATTCAATCTGTAAACTGTGTATCCTAAGGCATGTCTGTTCCACATAGATGCTTAATCTCTCATGCATATCAACTGCTGGTCCAAAAGATTACTGAGGTTTTATATGCTTACTTATATATTTTACACTTTTTTATCCTGCATGGCCTATAAAGATTACAAGTCTGCACAATAAAAATGTTTAACAGTTCAACAGTCAGTTTTTTTTTTAATTTTTATTTTCCCCAAAACAGGTGTATGTGTGTGTGTGTTAAGCAGTCCATAGTGTATATACATGTGTTTGTAGTGTGTTTGTGTGGAGGAGTGTTTCTTTCATTTCTTAACTATTACAAAGTAAATCATTTCGATAGAATCTTTCTGTTAAGGTCATTCATGCATAACTTCAAATAAAAGGTATAAATAATAACAAGGGTTTGTACAGCATTTTACCCCATGCTTTGATATATTTATCTAATTTAAGCCTCCAACAACATTGTGTGATGGATATTACTGTTCTCATTTGGTAAATGACACAATTTGCATTCAGGGGGAAATGCATTGAACTTTGCCATGCCGCCATCAGGATTTTTTAAAGAAGTATATTTATTACTGGCTTTGGCTAAGTTTACATCCACGACTTCCAAAGCAAGTTGTGCCAAGGTGATCTTCTTTCATGCAGTTTGCAGAATCCCTTTTATTCCTGGGCTCTCAAGCAATCTCTGAGGCTGCTGTGCTGGTAACTTGGTCTGGTATTTGTATTGACCCAACAAGTCCATTTCTAGTGCATGACATGAACTCACGCTTCTGATGAGGACAGCACGAGAGATCGGGCACGAAGTTACACCCAAAGTTTAAGTAGAGTCAGTGAAGTAACTTTAAACAAGGATGCTCTTTCTTTTGATTTATAATTTGAGTTTCCAAAGGAATGCATATGAACAAAATCAAGGTTTTTCTTATTTGTATTTGGGCTCAGCCACACACATGAAGCAGCTCATCTCTGGATACACAACTTTTTACTCATATTCAGGCAACTTTTTACTCCATATTGGAAATAAACAGCTCATACTTCACACATTAAACTAAATGTTAGTTGCATAATAATATGCACCAACCCAGGGGAGTGGGGCTCTTTCATTGCTGATTCATACCTTCCCTGGTGTGGGAGCTGGTATTTCAATGTTCTGATTTTTAGTATAATCCTTATTTGTAGAACTGGGAGTGGAAAGAGGTAGAGAAATCATCCTTAATGTAACACAGACGGCCAAACCTAAAAGAAAGGCTCATGGCTGTGAATACATGAAAGTGTTAAACTTCTTTCTACATTAAAAAAACAGTAGAAACAAATACAAAATAAATGATTAAGTGGTAAAGTCTTTGCCATATATAGACACATATAGCATTATAGTATACTTAAAATACAGAGAGCTTTTATATACAAACAAAAAGATGAATATGTCAACAGAAAAAGGGGGAGGATACAAAAAGATAATTCACAAAAAGAAGAACGTAACAATTCTATGAAAAAGCTTATACTTATTAGTAATGAAGTAATAAAAATCAAAGGAATGAAATTCCATTTTCACCTAGGAAATCTGCAAAAATCAAGAGAGTCTGGCTCCAGAGGCTGAAAGGTGAACCCTAGGCCACAACCATAGAAAAATGGAAGGCAAGCTGAACCTCAACTGACCAGTAATGGTCAATAGTATGGCTGGCAATTAAAATACAAACTAAAACACTTTTATATCTAAAATGCAAAAATAAAAGTATTCTTATAGACTTACTTTAAGGGCTTAAATAAAAGTTTTTACAGCATTAAAAAAACTTTTACAATAGTGTGTATTCAATCACATTATAGTTTAGTAACTTTCATGACCATAAAATGACTACATGGCAAGTTGATGGACAGTCCAGGAGAGAGCTTTAAATAATGGAAAGAACACTCTACTATAGCTTTTAAAGTAGTCATAATATTTATATTTATTTAGACCAAAAAATTAAAAATCAGTAATCTCAATGGAGTTAGAATGAGTTGAGAAACTGATAGAATTACATTACCATTAAGATTCAAAACACTTCTATTTTTTCCTCTAGGAATTTACTTGACTTATTCACTCTCAAATTTGCCAGTTCTTTGCGCAGTAATGAATTTCTCTGGGTTTTATTCATCACCCATCTTACTGGAACCACCAACACACGCTCTCCTCTCCTCACGATGCATGACACATCTACTTACATTGGCTCCTATCTTCTCATTTCTTTCTGTTGAAACAGAGGAAGATCCCCATTCTTACCAAAAGCCATTCCCTCCACATTGTCCATTTTTCCATCAGAGGCCTTAGCATATTAATCATGGTTATTTTAAATTTCCAATCTGATCATTCTAAAATCTCTGCCATATTTGCATTTGGTTCTCATGTTTGCTTTGTATTTTTTTTCTTGCCTTTTTATTGTTAGTGTGCCTTGTACTTATTAACTGAAAGTCAGACATGATGCATCAGGTAATATAAACTGAGGTAAATAGCCTTTAGTGTGAGGTTTTGTGTTTCTGTCTGGGAGTTGGGTTTTGTTTAATATTTGCTGTCATAGGTGTCGATGTTTTTGTTTCTGTCTCCTCTATTGTCTTTGGATTTCCCTAGAAATTCCTTCTTAATTGGACTCTGTGTCTTTCAGTTGTAATCCACTGCTATTATTCTGGAACTCTTCTGATGAAGTACTAAGATACTGGGAAGGAGAAGTGTTCCAAAACTTATGATTACATCTCCTTTTTTGGGGGGGGGTTGGACTGTTTGAACCCACCCAGTGACACCATGGAAGGAAGAAAGTTCTGAGGATCTGCTGCATAAAGACTACAGCCAAGAAAATCCTATGGGACTCAGTTCAACTATGCCACCCAGAGGTTTGCCCTGTGTTGGAACTGACCCAATGGCAATGGGTTACCAGCACAGTTCTTGGGCTGTGACCCTCAGAAGAGTTTTTGAGGCCTTTTTCCCTCCTCTTATATAAGACAGGAAGGCTAGAGGGGGCTGGACTTGGCTAGTTGCCCTTCCCCAGGTCAGATAAGGCTTCGGTAAAGTAGTTTCCCTTGAGGGTTGGTCTCTGTGACAGAGAACAGAACAAAGAACAGAATGCTCTGAGTATATTTCAAAATTGTTATTTTCCCCTCTCTCTGCCAGAAGCATAAAAAGAATGTTTTCTCCAGTCCTCATCATGAGAACCTGATGGGACTGCTGGAGGTAAAAATCACGGAAGTACGGGGGCTCCCTTGAATTTTCACCTCTCAAGCTAGTCCGTAAAAAGCCTCCAGAAATTCATCTCTTACACTTGAAGCGCTCCCATTAGTACTGACTCCAGCGGCAGGCTTCTGCTCTCAGTAAACCGATTCGCTGACTTTGCCTGTCTTCAGTTTTTGAAGCAGCATTTCACCCTGTGGCCTCCATTCTCTGACAAATCTAAGGAGAGTTGTTGATTTTTGGTTTGTTCAGCTTTTTCCTTGTTGTGAATATGAGAGTGTTGACTTCTGAGCTTTTTACATGTCAGACTGGAAACCAGAAGTCTGTCTTCCCTACCTGAAGTAAATCCTGCCTTCTTAATTTCTATCTTAATCTCTCTGTCTTAGCCCCTTGCCCCTTTCCTCACAGGAATACCACAAATGTATGGCCTTAACAAACAGAA